GAATATTTCACATATATATCTCTGATGTAATAAATTCATTTTAAATTAAAAATATTTCAGTAAGGATTGGTTGGTTGATGATGGCTTAGTCGGCTTCAAAAGTCTTTATCACGACAAGTAATGAGAAAAATGAAGTGAAAGTGATAATTGGGTGGTAATCGGTAATATAACAGAAAACCAACATCATATTTCAATTTAACGCAGAAATCTACAGGGTAATATATTGTCTACAACACACATCAAAAACTACATGTAAGATTTAAACCGCCCTGAATATTAACTAGAAGAGAATGTTTCATAACACATACTACATCTTCAAATATGAAATCAATTCCGTTTATAAACAAAAATATAAAATAATTACATAATTTTGAATAAACGAATAAACGTCTGGACTGTTTTGTCCTTTTAATCGCGAAAATATAGAAAAAGGTCAATAGTTTATGCCGACCCTAATGGAGCCCCCATTGTTTCTCAATAACCACAAATGCCATTTCAAATTGGGAAATATATATGTATGACAGAGATATATCATGAATGCAAATAAGAGACTCCTAGGAGCTTTACTCACTCATCTGTCAAATGTACCCCTTAGTGATCAAGAGATGATAATTTCTGTCAAATTAATGTAAACTGAATTTGTTTTCTTCGATTCCATAAAGCTTGGCAAAACATTCTGCCGTGTAGTTTCACCAGATAATCTTTTTGAAAATTGGCCTCATAAGGTAATGTTTTTCACTCCATTGGAGTCACGTGTAGATGATTTATAAAACATCATACATGCCAAGTTTGATCACTATTGCAAAGTAGTTTCATAAATTGTAATGAAAATGTAATTTTCCACAGGGTTTCAATGGGAACCATGTGTCACTATTTCCCCCATGGTTACTTCTCGGTCAGTTTTAAATGAGAATAGTTTGTAAAAGGTCTTCAAATCATCAATTCATTAAAGTGTAAAACAAAATTTTACCTTGTACGCTCAGAGGAAGACATTGGATTAATATATTGGCCAACCAGAATTTAAAAAATGTCTCTTGCGGCCTTGTTTTTGATCCGATCCAAACCGAATGAAGATCATCTTCTGATGATCAATCCCCAAAGTTTTAAAATATTTCATCTTGTAGTTTCAGAGGACAATCTTCATATGAAAATGCTATACCCTTAAACATAACGTTATATGTTTGTGACCGTTTGAATGTCCCTTTTGGTATCTTTATTCTCTCTGTTACAGTCCGACTACTATATCTAAGGCAAAAATACTGAATGATAACCAATCTATCAATCTCTAGATAATAAGTAACAAGTTAAGTTTATCTACATAGTATCTATCGATGTGACCGGAAATTTATGACACTGCCAAATAAAGATCTATTATAGATTAATTTTTTCGGGAAATTATCCCTCGTCTGAAAGCTATAAACCAACATCATCTTCATAGGATGTATACATATTAGACCCGATTCGCAGCTAAAGGGCTTGTGTAAAAACAATGACTGTCTTTAGATGTCAAAGATATTCTCAAATAAACTGACAAGAAACGGATTCTTTTTACTCTTAAACTGATGTAATTAAAACCACATTTTATACGTTACAACTATGAGTTGGTAATGCATAAAAATTAAAACCAACTACATTTGACAGTACCACAGACCACAACTGTCACCAACAACTAACGCCTACGAGAAAATAAACATACAAACAAAAACGAACAACACATGGTCCAGATAGCCTGACTTGGTACAGGCACAATGTGTGGTGGGGTTAAACCAGTTTTACGCGCCCACATATAAAATTTTCGTCGGTCGTTAGCATGAGACCATGTTCTAAATGATCTACCTTTTGTCTTAATTCACCTAGTTCTCTTGCCAATTTTGAACAATACCGAATTTTTGTCTGTGAGTAATATTATAGCCTTTGTATGATGTCGATACGAGGTTATATCGACCTAAGAGAAGCATATGGACTGAGGACGAAGTCCGAGGTCGATATGCTTCTCTAGGTCGATATTATTAGTTATCTTGGTGTAATCAGGGGTGTAAAATTCCGTACACCCCTGATTACACCAAGATAACGAATTTGTTTCTTATGCACAATTCCTTTACCCATTTTTAAACCGGGATGTAAAATTGAAAAATGCTAATGAAAAATTTCCAGTGTAACATTTTTTCAACGTCGATGTTGCTGCGCATTGTTAAATACTTTTTTTCTTTATTTTTGGGAAATTCAGAATTTTTTGTGTTCTTTCGAATTTTCGGGAAAAAAAATTAAAAAAATTTTCAAAATATTTTTTACAAATTTTCGTCCTCAAATTTATTCATTTTTTATTTTTTATCTTTTTTTTCGACATTTTTTTCTTTTTGTTTTTTTTTACATTTTCTTTTTTTTTTCTTTATTTTGGCAAAATTTTATTTTTGTTGACAAAATTTTATTTATCCCGGGTTGAACAAGGGTGGGGTGTTATTTACACCAGGGTAATTAACCAATCAGATTGCAGTATTTATGCTGCATAAGAAATAAAACCTCTTATTGACCACAACCAAAGGCTACAATGGTTATATTATTAATCAACAACTATCGCATGAACAATGTAAAATTGAGGATTTCTAGAATGTATTTTTATTAATTTATAACACGCTGTATGCCCTGTGCAATATGCTGTTTTGGCCTACGAAAAGCTAAACACAACAGTATTGGCATGCAAACTGAGTAAATACAAATGTACATGTGATCAAGTTTTAACCAATCACAAATCCTTAAAAATATTCGATTAACAATATTATATAATAATAATTATTTTATTGATGTGGTAACAGTTTAAATAAACTTCATTTGTACGTCAAAACAAGACTAATTTCATAATAAACAAAATGAAAATAGATAATTGAATAAACTGATAGACAAAAATAGTTATATATTTTTGATACTGTATGAAACCAATCCACAAAATGTGAGAACTCATTCTTCATTGTCAACTATGTATGACCATAACAATAAAATTACTCATCGAGTATACTGGACATCGTAGGGAAAAGCCAGTAGAGATTTTATTATATCAATTTCAGAATATTATATTCTACTGTGAAAGCGGAGGTAAAGCCCAGTGGTCATTTTACTAAAGAAAAATCAATGTGATCAGAATTAGTCAGCATGTGTAGTCAGAGATATTGATTATTGTGTTTATGGATGTGTATTATCAAACAGTGTAAAAGAAAATCTCGGAAGATAAACATATAAATTGCAATCGTTTTATTCCTCATTGAAACGGATTACTTTAACTGTTTTAGAATAATTGTTTGCATTGAAATGAAGTATCAGAAAACGATTGTTTCTGTATACACAAGACATAAATTCAAAATAAATAAAACAGAATTTTTTTCCCAATAGAAAGCAAAACTTGAAGTCGATGTCAAAACAAAAGTGGGCTCAGTTCCTTGTTTCAATTGATATAAAAAATTCATATTTAGTGAAATATGTAACTGTAAATTAAAACCTGACGTGTAAAATATTTATGAGATATTCTAAATTTAGAACAAACGGTAATGATTTGTCATATTCAGATACACTTCATGATTGTCAATACACTGATGAGTTCATATCAAGATTATAAAAATGAACGTAAAAATCAATACAAGCAAATAAAAGAAAGAAAATGTCTGCTTACCATGTGTTGTTAGTTTTATTGTTGTTTTAATTACAATGTGGTTTTATACATAATCCATGAGCCTAATAGTACAGGCTTGAAGCAGAACTTCGAAAATGAGTTGCATTTCCTAATAATACGAGATGCTTTTCCAACTGATAGGCTTTGGATTTCCAATGTGAAGGAGAAATAAGCGATATTTTGTTTCATGGGATGACATCGGAAATATTCTAAGAAATTGGAAGTCGCGAGGAAAATATTAGTTCTATCTGAAGAGATTAAATATGATGCATTATGAATAAGATAGATTAAATACGGAATCACCGTGTTTAGAGAAAGGATATTGATACCGAATAAAAATATGTAGGGCAAAATTGTGATTCTACCTGCACCTAAAAAAACACCCCATAATTATGAGTAGTGGCAGAAATTAGTTAAAGTAAAGGGGGGGGGGGGGGGGGGGATAGAACATTTCAGTTCTAGTATAACTTTATATACTACCAATTTTAATGTGTTGAGAAAAATTGTTTTCTTGTCCATGCATAAATGGAATTTTGTCATTTTCAAAATATATTACGGTCTTCTGGAATAACTTTCAGCAGGTTCACTCGATACCAAAAGTTGGTGACTATTTGGGCCCGTCCAACGCCCTCTTTTCGTCACTGATTGGCCACGTCCGATGTCTTATTTTTTGTGACTGTATTTGGCCAAGAATAACTTTCTGGGTTGTAATATAATAAGATCATTGCATACCGAATCGAAATTTTCAGATATTAAACTCAACATGCGAACATATACCGATCGCCGTCTTTTCATGTACTGGTCTGCTGGTTTGTCCTTAATCCTCTTTCTTGGTCCATCTCTGATAATTTCTTCTTTGTCAAAAAAATAATTTGATTTTCCCAAAAATAATTTTAGTTGAAACATATGTAATTATGTTACATTTAATAGCTTCAGAAAACGTATTAAAAAGTAACGGGGGAGGGGGAGGGGGAATCCATTCAACTAGTTCATTTGTATATTTCATGGTAAGGCCACTCCAATTGAATTCTTTTTCTCCTGACTTTTATGTACAAAAATTGGAGCGAGAGAGCAATTAAAAAAAAAAAGCGATGACATTATAAAAATGAAACTGTTGATTTTATACAATTAGAAGGACACTTTAGAAAATTCTCAGAAAATGACAATAAATTTCATTTTTCGTTTCACAAGTTTTTCAGGAAACGCCGAAGAAATATCAACAGTTCTATTTGGAGGGGACTTATCGAAACTGTTTAAAGAAATAACCTGACCTGCTATATTCAAAAAAGCAAATACACTGAATAAATTTAAAAGATTTGAAAGTTTAGTAATAATCAACATGTACCCATTGAAGGACCTTCAATATACAGGTAAGTCGTGTGTGTTGTAAAAATATCCCAAATCGGTGACCATAAAACACAGCGCGGGAACCCGAGATGAACAAACTATAGTGAAGTTACGAAAACTAAACAGTTTCAGTTTCGATTGTATTAAAAGAATAATTTTGTTGAGACATTATGTTTAAGCAGTATTTCTTGTTGTTCTTTTGGTTCCCATAGGTCAAAGCATTTGTCTTATGATTTTTGTTATGAAGGTATTTTTTATTCTTTTAAAATATAGACTTTTGATATTTGACACATGGTCGCAGCAACTCGGAAGATTTCATTGACCTTTGATCGTCAATGTCAAATAAATGATTTTTCCCATATCAACACCCATATTTAAAACCATATATATTCTTGTTTGTCACGACAAGACCTTTCCAATGCATCTGAGGGTTTACCCCTGGTGTCATATCTCATATATTAAATCGTTAAATATCTCAAAAAGGTATACAAATCCCCACCCCTTAGCTCTTCATTGTCTTAATTGCCTTGACAAGGCCTTTTTCAGACAACTGTGGAACATGCCCTTCCCTTTATATCATTAATAGTTAAATATCTTGGAAACTGTTCTTTCCCCACCCTAAGTTAATTGTGATGGCAAGACTTTTATAGTACACAATAAATTTTGTCGTTGGGATCATAAACCGCCCCATATACAGTAAATTGTTGAAAAAAAACCCGTTTAGATCCCACCCCAAAACCATATATATTCTAAACTGTAACGACAAAACCAATAAGTGAACCATCGATTTCAAATATATTAAAAAAAACCCAGAAAAAGATTCCTACCAGTTAACCAACCATACACACATGCTTGTGCTATTTAAGCAGTATAAATGCATGGAGCATATGAACTTTGACTTCTTACCTCCACTGACCACAATAACCTTGTTTGTGACATTGACAACGCGAGTCCGTTAAGTTAGATCTATGACTTCGCGAAAGAATGCAGGTTCGCAGAATTCTTTAAAATGCCCTCCGCTTCACAATAATGAATTGTTACTAAACATATTTCATTTGAAACAATGGCAGTATAAAGAGAACAGTAATTAATACATTGTCTAAACATAAATGTTATTTTTATTCGAAACAGGATAAAAATGCTCGACAGAGCCACTCATTTTACCTGTTTCTCAGTCATGACAAGAATAGGTTCCCTCCGTAAAATATTCAGTAAGCCTTCGGAATATTGTCAAACTTGGTCGGGTACCAGTCTAGGGTCTGTTGGATCTTTTCTATAAACAGTCGGAGGGAAATTATTTTAAGTCCAACAAAACAGACCCACCTAGTTATTGCTTAGTTTGTTATTTCTTCTTATGATGTAAATAGTTATGGACGATATCGCAAAATGACTACAACGGTATAATCGAGAGTTGCATAAAAAATGTAACGACATAGTCATATGACGTCATATGTAGATAAACAATGAGTAGCAAAGACGTGAGCGCTAAAAAATGGATGTGCGTGAAAGTATCGGTCCTAATATGGTGTTTAAGCGTTGCTGTAACAATTTTTATAGTTCAATACTTGCGAATTATTCCCACGGACAATATTAAAGTTGATGAAGAAGAGGATGATTTGATCATACGGACCTTAAATCTTCATAATGTCAACGAGAAAAAGAGAGCGAAACGCGAAACAGATTATACTGCATACAAAGAAATGGGATGGCGATTTACTCCAGAGGAAGCTAAGATAGTTTTCGATGCTTATTATAAATGTATCGAGGAACGGAATGCAGCATATTCGGAGGAAATTCATGTAAAAGCAATATTAGCATTAGAAGGCCAAACAGTTAAAATGACTTGTCATTCTTGCTTCCGTCCGGATCAAGACCCTTCCAGCTACCATATAGAATGGCAACAACTTAGAGCGGAAGTAGGTGAATTGGATTATGTGGAAAATGACAAAAGAATAAAAATCACCTCCGACAAGATGCTGGCTATTCTAAATGTTGATGTCGTAGATCGTGGTCAGTATTTTTGTGTCCAATCAAATATTCAAGAATATTTAGAAATTTATCAACTTGATGTAATCGAAAGGGAAAAAAGGATTACTCTTCCAGAGAGTGACATTAAGAATCTTTTACCACAACATGAATTACCTGACCACAACCTAAAGCTGTTTACACTATGGTCAGAATGGAGTGATTGTAACCAATGCAATAGGCTTGGTAAAAGGAGAAAAGTAGGAATTTGTATGGTAAATAAAATTGAAAAGGATAGACCAATTGAACCAATGGACATTCCTATGATTATTTTATACCCTGACGGAATACCGTGTCGTTCTACAATTTTACCACCAGGGGTCAAGAGATTACAGGAAATACGTGACAGAAAAAGCGAAACAATATTAGGCGACTGTTTCATGAAATGCCCTACAACACCTGCCTTTTTAACGATAACAGATTCCAGTGGAAAAATTATAGAAACAATTGATTCTGGATTTTATTCTATGAAGTAAGTAAGTTTTCAGTTTTATGGTCGTATATTGAACCTTCTTTTTAGTATAGGGACTGATTTAAATATTTAAAAATATGAGGGGATCCAACATAATGAGTATGCTTTATAAATAGCATTGTGGTCCCCTTATGGTGTATTGTTTTATATGTGGTTTCAACCAGTAACTAGAAAAAAGTATTGTAGTTTCATGTTTCCTTTTTATAAATTCTCACAGTATGTCATATTATGAACATTTCATTTATCATTAATCCTTTGAGAGAGTGGCTTAAGGTTTCATATTTAATACATGCTAATCTCTAAAGAGCATAAGAAAGACAATCCAAACAAAAACCAAACTGAATTTCCAACAAACCTGAACTTGTGTATGAATAAAAGGAGATTTGGAATATGCTTTAGTGAGACAGCAACCTAACGACACAACAATCTCCACTCAAACTTATTAAATCATGTCAACAATCATTAGAATGAAAGCTGTGGACTCATATGTCTGTGTTATGGTAAAATGTTTGATTATTCATGGGAAAAATACTAAAGGGTCGCATGTGGTGCAAATTTATTCTTCAATAAAAATGCAATCTGATAAAAATCAGATATGTCACTAGGCTCCGTTAGATTTGTTTCTCGGTCGTGTTTAAATCAGAACTTTCACGCTGTTCCGTTAGAAGTTTGTAGCTCATGTAACAATCTTGATTATATAAACCCATTGTGAAGCCTATATTAATCTTCATCGATCTACAAATGTATTTTCTTGCACAACGGCTTCCATATTCATAAAATTCAAAATGCGAAACCACACTTATCACTGTGTATTTCTAACTAATGTTTACCAAAAAAATACGAAAGTCGGTGAACAAATATTTATTTTACATCATTAAAATGGAAATTTAACTAACAACAGCAAGTAGATGTTTACGTCCAGTAGCCGAAATAGCATGCAAAAAATATTATCAAATATGTGATGTAGCCCATTTACTTTTCCTTGACCTTTGTAGTTAGTACCCTGGAAAGATAGCCTTGAACAGTGCTGGACTGTATCTTAGCCTAATATAAGTTATCATGTTATTTCAGCAAAACTGAATAAATTCCTTTAAAAAGACGTTTAATCCTATAGCAAAACTAAAGGCAAAACTAGTATTTTGGCATCAATTCGTGAAGCTACCCAGATTGTTAGCTAAGATCTGCTTTGTTTAAATCGTTGAAACTTGTTTATTGAGATATAATAATAACATTATCATTAATATATAATTTGAAAATCCTAAAAAAAATCTGAGACAAAAAAAAACAGGCGTTAATGTTCCTTGTCCTTTTACAGAGTGTATACAATTAATGTCAGTGCCAGAGTGATTGCTATCGCTCTCTACAACTAACTACTACTAGTTAAATCTCTATACCCATTCAGGTTAATGAAGCATTTTGAGTCGGAATGTTTGTTCTATACTGTGTAATAAGTACGCCATTGCTGAAAGCTATCGACCTGAAAGTTTCAAGATAAGAAACAGCAATAAAAACGCATACGATATCTGATACCTCATTCAATAATAACTGGGGTATCTGTATGAGTATAAAAATATTTAATAAAAAGCATTGAAATCATATAAGAATAAAGGGGCTGCGCGTTCAGATCTACTGTTTTTGTAATATCGTATAGATAAGATCAAGGGCACATTGAATAAGAAGAAATTATTTATGGGTCCATGCCCATAGCGCCTGCGATAAAAAAACGTGGTATGATTACCAATGAACAACTCAATAGCACATGTTGAAAAACTGCCATCGTGCTTTAAAGAAACTGTACTAGAACCTTTGAGAGTGGTCCATATGTGACCTGTTGTATGGCAGAAGTTTGACCTAATCAGCTTTTCGATGGTTTTTCTATGGCAATACTGCTTTCTCGTAGCACTTGATAAATTAAGGCAAATCATAATACAGTTACGGGCATCTATCCAAAACAAATTACTATCACCACAATATTTCACTGACGCTGTTAAACTGAATTAAAGACCCCTTCCCATAAAATTGTCCATATTGTCAGTTATTGCTGGAAGACCTTTCTCGAATTTTGATATAATTTGTCCCAAAAAGGGATTTTTCTAATTTGTATTTAATATTTTAAAGAAATTTACTGCAAACTAACTGCTAGTACGATAGTTGGTAATGGGATGTGTTATTAGCAACGTCGGCGAGAAAAGGCGTTTATACATAATTATTTTTCTTAATTGCTTTGCTACTGTATCGTATGCCTTTAACACAGTACACTTATAAGAGGTACAGTTATGTCTACAATGTGTATTTTGTTGCTATGCACTAATTATCTTTATTGCATAGCATCAAACTATTCAATCTTAAAAAAATATTGTCTTTCGGTGAGGTAATGCGTTGTGAAATTTACTTTTGGAAAACTGATATTAACTGAACCTAGAGGCTCTGGGAGCTATCAGGCTTCTTTGTTTCCCAAATGTGAAAAGCTTATTGAAAGCTGAGGTCCACAATGTTTAGGAGTTGACATTGCACAAAGTGACATTAATAAGAGGCAGGGCCTGATTCCTTTAAATATATTTTAACCAGGATCAATTAAAAAGTCATTGTTATCTTTACTTGTAAAAACAGCAGCACAGATTCATGCCTTTGTGTATTTAATGTTCTAACAATATTATGGATTGTTTCTTAACTTATATCATATATACATAATCGTAGCTTATAACTGCATTAATAATGACGAAATTTATGTGTTTTTATCTTATGATATCAACTGCTTTTACGTATACAGAATATGTTTACTTGATTCATTTGAGCTCACCTGTCAGAAAGGCCAAGTGAAGTTTTCTCATCACTTGGCGTCCGTCGTCCGTCGTTGTCGTTAACTTTTACAAAAATGTTCTACTCTGAAAGTATTGGCCAAATTTAACCAAACTTGGTCACAATCATTATTGGGGTATTTAGTTTTAAAAATGTGTCCGATGACCCCGTCTTACAACCAACATGGCCGACATGGCTAAAAATAGAACATAGGGATAAAATGCAATTTTAATCTATTATCTTGAAAATCGCTATAAATAGAAAAAATCTGACAGGAACAGAAATATTCAGAGTGTTGAGATCTACCTGCTGTCTATTTACGTCAAAACTGTCAGACGACTTCTTATAAGAGTTATTGTCCTTAAATGGCAATTTTTACCATTTTATTTTTCATTTTTGCCTTTAATTTCGAAAACTATAATCGATAAGAGAGAAACTTTAATTTAAAAAAAAATTTCAGCAAGACATGATCTACAAATAAATCTACATAATTCTTACATGATTTGCATATCTACAAATACTTGAATTGGATTGGTCCATTAGAAGTTTTCCCCTTGGTTTACACTTCGATAAACCATGTTGCCGAAACTACTTTCACCGAGATCTATTCATGCGCTATACACATGCACATGCATATGTAATTTGTTTTTGAATCTCAATTTGCTTAGTACCCCTGGAACCAATGTATGTGTATAGCGCATGTAAAGATCACAGTGAAAGTAGTTTCGGCAACATGGTTTATCGAATAGTAAACCAAGGGAAAAACTTCAAATGGACCAATCCAATTCAAGTATTTGTAGATATGCAAATCATATAAGAATTATTGCAAAATGAGTATTTTTTTTCATAATCTGTAGCTTGGAAAAAAGCTCAGTGACCTATACCAAGGGTTTGATTATATCTAAAAAATAAAATAAAAAATAAAAAAAAACAGGATATAATGTGCAGTTGGCAAAGTATGAAAATTTCTGTAATTTTTTTGTTTTCATTTCCATTTTACCTTGAAAAAGAGGTTCGTTAGGGATTTGTGATTAGCAAAACTAGATGTTCATTCAAAATTGTTAATTATTTCTTTCTATCTTCAGAAGTAAACCTACATTGCCACCGATGGTCAACCGAAAGGTAATTTACACAGACACTAGAAAAAAAGTTGTGTTGTTATGCCCAAATTCCTCAAAGAAAAAAAGCTTGATAAGATGGCAGAATGGATCAATTCCCTTTAATCCTTTGACCATTAAAGGACAAACACGTGGACGGGTTCAAATAGATACCATCAACCGTTTGCATATAAAGGGACTAAGGAAAAGTGATACCGCTGTTTACAGTTGCTGGGCACAGGCAAAACTAGTTGGTACTGTTAAGGTGATAATAACTACAGGAGTTAACCCCAAAGTTCATCAAATTATAACCACTACAGGCATTGTGTTAACCATTATTTGTGTATCACTTATATGTATCTGTACTCTTGGTAACAAAGCACGTCAGAAAAACGCTGCGAAATAACAGAAAAAGTGTTTTCTCCATTAAACAACCGTTTTACCGAAAACAACAGCGGATGCAACTTTTTACGAGTTTAAAAAAATGAACGTTTTTGCAGTTAACGAATTATTTTAAGTTTAAATGTATTTCAAACTGCCGACAAGATATGATTGGAGAAAAACTAAGATTCACATTTCTCAGACCGAATATGAAATAATATAAGAGCAAAGCAGATACTACAAAGCGGTAGTCATCACTTTAGAGGACGACACTGTTTGCCAGCAGTAGAATCTACCAAGTGTAGGAAAATGTAACAATCGAAGTCAGAATATTTGCTTCGTACAGTGTTCTTTCAAACAAATCAAGATAGCTGTATTTAAATCATGAGTTTTAAAATATAATAATGTCTTGTTTGTTGTATGCAAACGTTATTTCAATGACCAATATTAAGAGACTGTCACGCTCTCCACATTATCAAGAATTCGTGCAACATCTCACTATAGGAGATGGTCCTATCCGTATGTGACTTGTGAAGCAAAACTACATCCTAACTAATGTTCTCTTCTTTATCAATGTTCATTTAGTTTTCAGATTTGACCCTTTGAGATATTGCTAACAAATTTTCCTCCTGAATATTCATGAAACGTTTTCAAACCAATACAAACATACTGCTATAATCTCGGGTTTATCCCGTCACAGACTTTTCTGACCGGTTTGCAATGAGATAATGTAACGGAGAAAGCTCGATGCCATAAAAGAGGGACGAAAGATACCAGAGGGACAGTCAAACTCATAGATCGAAAACAAACTGACAACGCCATGGCCAATAATAAAAAGACAAACAGAAAAATAATAGTACAGATGACACAACATAGAAAACTAAAGACTAAGCAACACGAACCCCACCAAAAACTGGGGGTGATCTCAGGTGCTCCGGAAGGGTAAGCAGATTAAGGCAATATCATTCACCATATTAAATCAGTTTAATTTTAGAAAATCCTTCCTTCTTTAAAGATCAGTCTATTCCTGTCATATCCTTTACCTTTACCACGACTATTGCAACCAAAATTTCAATTATAAACACGAGTTAAAGGATCACAATATTGACGAATTTCAGTTTAACATCCTGATTGCTCCTATGCTAGTTCACCATTTATATATAATTCGGCTGGCAACTATACTTCCCTGAGAAATGTGTTAACCAAAGAACCGATATATGGCGCAAAAAAGATGTTGATACTCTTTCTGAATGGAATAAGGCTGTAATATATGATCGATGTGCAAATTAGAATAAGAAAAAAAAAAATGGACTGGTCTATGAAAACTCATGCTACATCCATTTTCAGCGACCAAAATGCAACTTAGGACATTTCCTGCTGCCAGGAAAAATATGTTGCTGCGATTGACGTTTTTGATCGACATTTGTTGAGTTTGGTGGAATTTTATTTTAGCAAACAATCGGTATTTCACTGGGTGCTTATTGTGCACCCCTACTTGTTTTTGTATTCATATGAAGCAGATATCGTATAAAATCTCAGAAGAAAAAGAAATCATATCTTTTAAAGTTCATTCAGTTCACTTTCAGATATATTGATGATGTCCTATCACTCAATGACCCAGATTTCAGTGAGTGCTTGCATCTCATAAATCCAAGTGAGTTTGAGATAAGGGATACTACCGAGATAATAGGTCTACTTCATATCTGGATAGTTTCTACGATACTGACTCAGAAGGACGACTTCAGTTTGAATCTATGACAAATGTAATGATTTCAACTTACAATTGTCACCTTCCTTTTATCAGCAGTAACAAACCCTCTGCGCAGCCATTGTCTGGTGTTTACATATCTAAATTGATACGTTATGCTCATGTATATGCACATTATATCGACTTCGTTAGCAGGAGTGTGCTCGTTGCACAAAAACTGCTCAAACAGAGATATGAAAAAGAACGACTGAAATCGTCACTAAATATGTTTTACAGTCAATATCACGAATTGGTTTACCAATACAATATGTTTGTATGTCAACTCATCAGCGACATGCATCTTTGGGTATCAGAATAGTCGCCTTATCAGTAATTTTACTGATTGTGTCGTAACACCGATTGTGACATAGTTGACTTAGAGTGGATTCTCATGGCGGGTATTGCAGCATATCATCAGACGCTTACGCTGTCAACGCACCAGGGGTCTCTCTTTTTAGAGTTCATGCGATTCACTCAGTTTTTCTTTGTTACCTTGATTTGTTTTCATAATCGATTTATCATTTTTAAACATCGGTTAACTACTGTTGCCCATATTTATCAGCAATCAAAGCCGGTCTTCAGAGTTATTTCAAAATTACTTACTCTAGGGGAGGTAAGAACAAGTTGTCGATACTACAAAACTCAAAAGATATTCTAGAGTACATACAATGTACCTTCTTCCTCTTGCAACAGTATAAAACATTTGACGTCGCTACCCTTTGCATTAGTATGTCACATTTAAAAATTAAAGTCAGATTGAAATAATTTATTCTTCTTTGTTACTTTAAAAAGAATTGCCAACGTAGAATCGGGTATCTTGTTTTATACTTCGTAATTTGGTCACTCCGATTCAAACAAAAAGTATCCGTGACTGACACAAACAAGATCCATGAATTTTTTTATTGATAACAAACATGTAGCTGTTTCGTTCGGAGAAGGTGTTTTCCAACAAACAATTGACATTCCTATTGACAACCGCTGTACTCATAGTCTTGCTGATTTGTTTCCTTATTCATATGAGACAGATTTCATACAAGATCTAGAGCTTCTTAGGAAGATTAAAAGGAATTTATCATTATCCTCAACTCCAAGTTCTACTATAAAGATGATGTCCCCTCACTAAATGATACACTTTGGTGACTGTTGAGCGCATATATCCCATTGAACTTGAAATAAAGTATACCACAGATACAGTCAAGTCTGCCGCATATCCTGACTTATACCTTTTTAACTCACGGTATTGAAACGGTTTGTCGGAATCGCAATCATGTACAGTATGTGAAGTATAACATTTGCCTATTGAGCAAAATAAAACGTGAAACTCGGACACAAACACAACAAATACACACTGGTATTCAAGAAAAGATTTAGAATGAAAGACTTACTTTTTTTATTAATAAAATGAAGACAAATTAACATTCGTTATAAATATAAAGACGAAGATTCTATCACAGATAATATTGCAGCGATATGCTACAAAAGTGGATTAAGTCAAAGTAATTTTTCTCATTACTGCTTCACTTCATGTAAGCTACAGATTTTAACATTAAACCTCATGATCAAATTCTGTAATCCAAACACACTGTTTAGTTAACAGAAGTAAATCTTAACACTTATATTAAAGATTTAAAGACGCGCTTGTTATCTAAGGAAATAGAAATTAAATCAGCATGAATATATCATTCGCATAACATTATGAACATTTGGAGTAGTAAAAAAAAGATACATAAATATATAAATACACGTGTAAGTAAAAAAAAACCTAATCAAAATATTTTGCATTACAATTGACTTATTTACTGATGATAGCCCTTGTTGAAAAATACAACAATTGTTTGTTCCATTTATAAAAGAAATTTCACAATGATCATGAACCTTGCGTCTACCTTACCGCAATCAGGATTGTGCTTATTATTGATGTTAGGAGAAGAACAACAACATTGTTATACTTTTAACTGAATATCGTTAATACACATATAGCACTTATTTTATAAAAGATAAAAATACATCAATACACAAGATGGACACTCATAGAGTACCCGGTATCAAAATCTATTATTATCATATACATTGAATAAATATATTACGTATTTACTTCTTCCTTTATCGACTTAGGTAGATATAATGTCGAAATTAAAAAGCTACAAAAATTGTGCTGTCTGAAATACTTCATTTTATCAAAATTGGGTAACTTTTGGGAAATTGAAAACTTTTATAATTTTTCTGCATATAAATCAGGATTGTTACAGATAACACAGTAAAACAGTGAGAACAATGTTCATATATTAGTTATAAAAAATAAAAAATGAGCCAAGACATTTTTGCATACTTTAATATTTTATATTGAATCTGTCCATTTATATCTTACGTGGAGATTTAAGAGAAGTGACCGTACCAACTTTCAAAGAAAGATCGTACTCAAATATAGTTTCGCATTAAATGTACAGTGCATCATTTTGAAATTGGTATAGATTGAAATATTTTTTTCCCTTCATGGAGGCGAAAATGCTGAAATTTATTATTTATTCGAGGTTAAATTTATTTAAGTTTTGATTTTTGCTTTTGGTTTCTACTTTTTTTTTTATTAAAATTGTAACATGATGTTCGATTTTCAAGCAATAAAATGTGAGATTCAAATATTACACACTTATTTTTGCGTTAGTTTCACGTGGGAACTCAATTAAGTTTGAAGAATGTGTATATAATGTTCATTTAGAAACCTTCAATCTTATCATATGCTTCTAGTGATGAAATGATTACATAAAGTAACCACAGTATAAAAACAATAAAGCCGGTTGCCCATTTTGTTTTTATAGGACCACCAAGTTCAGCGTTACCGAAAGCGGACATTTTCCTTCTCACTAATAATACGAAAATTGCGACGCAAGCACAAGAAAGATAGATAACAACACTAAAGCCAAGTGAACCAGCCGGGTAATCAAACTGCATATCCTGAAATGGAAAAAAAGTTAATACTTTGTTGAATTATATTCACAAGTATTTTAAAAACGCATAATACAACCAACATTTGTAGTTTGTAGAATTAGACTTATTACCGGATTTGTTCTTACATGATCAGTATGACGGGTGCAGGATCTGCTAACCCTTCCGCAGCACCTGAGATCACCCCCGTTTTTCCGTGGAGTTCGTGTTGCTCATTCTTTAGCTTTGAATGCTGTGTTTTGTATACTGTTGTTTCTTTTTTGTATTCTGGAATGGCGTTGTCAGTTCATTTTAGACTTAAATTATGAGTTTGAATGTCCTTTTGGTATCTTTCGCCTCTCTTTCACTGGAAAGGCCTTGACATTTAGTGTTTTATTTTCTTTTTTTAACCAAAAGTAAACAGCAAATAAACATTTTAAAATTCACAGCCTCAAATGCTTTATATGTACCGAAAATGCCTTCATAAATCGAAAGTAAACACGTCCCTCTTACTCATTGCAAAGCATTAGCAATCAGCTTTCATTTGACAAAAATGCTGAAAGTGGCGGCAAACAACAATCAATCAATCATTCTATAAAAGTTTTGACTGTTATTATCTGGAAAGACAGGTTGACATCGGCATGTCATTAAAAGCCCCATACAAAACGATTTCAATGACACGGGTTTTATAGTACCGGAAGTGACATGACGTATATAACAATAACACTTCAAACATTGCGTGCATCCGAATCGATTTTCTGGATTTACCTTCATCGGGAATGCTCAAACCCAAACATTTCAAAGCCAGGGATGTAAGAATACGTAGAACATTTTGAGCTTTATGACCAAAAAGGGGCATAAAAAACAGCCAAATTTATCTATAAAGGTTAACTTTGCCGTATGGAGTTCGAACAGTAGTTTAATTATATATATTGTTTTAAATCTATCATCGGGGAAGTTTAGAATAGCTGTTAAAAATCATGTCAGTGCCAAAGAACTAACTACTTAGCTGATGATACCCTCGGAGACTAACAGTCCATAAGGAGTAGTGTTGACCAAATGCTAGTAAATGAAATAACCCCCTTTCTCGCTTTTGTCATTAAAATAATATGGCACTTCTTTTAACCAGCCGGAGGTTGTTATGTATTTTGTCAATTCAAATATAAAATGTCAACATCCATGGGGATGCCTACCAGTTGTCTGAGGGACGAATGAATGACTTTGAATATAAATAAAGACTTACCTTAGCTTCCCAATAACATGCTGCTAATAGCCAAGGAAGGCCTAGTCCCAGAAAGACATTTACTGCGTTACTTCCGTTGACATTTCCAATTGAGCAGTCTGCGTATTTTTCATTGATTGCTGCAAGCTTACTAGCAAATGTGTCCGGCATACTTGTGCCCAATGCCACAAATGTGATTGCTGTAACAGTGTCTTTGAGTCCAATTAAACACCCAAATATTGTAGCAAGATCATTAACAACGGCGGTAAGAAGGCCAATTACTAGCAATGAAACAACAAATGTTACCCATCCTCCTCCGATAGATGTAGGTGGTATGCATGCAAAAAATGCCTGTAACAAAAGATAAATGTATTCAAATTTAAAGCAAAGAAAAATAGATAACGAATGAAATACTATCTAAACACATCAATATGTAATACTTTTAGTGTTACAGTCTGTTCGCCTGTTTGTTTTCATCTGCACAATATTATAGCATTTTTTGTATTTGATAAATTAATTGGATTATCCGCAGTCAACTACAGGCTTAAGTCGTAGTAATCAGCAAACACTTCCTTTCTAGTATTTAAAGTGCCGTTCGTTTACCACATATGAGACATGAAGCTTACTGTTATGGTAATGCGTTAAAGTCGAGTGTACATGTAGATATTTCACAGGCTACAAACAGTACTAAAAATATTGCCTGACTACATATACAAGGCTATTGTTTTATAAACAATGACCCCATGTACTTTTCCCTTTTAAATTCTCTGCACGTTTTTGAAGAGGAATATCAAGATATGCAAATCAATCACAGAAGAAACGATACGTTATATGCACATCGATCACAACAAAAACGATTCTTTATATGCACATTCATCACAGCCGAAACAATATTTTGTATGCACATCGATCACAGCAGACACGCTACGTTATGTAGGCTTCGATCGCAGCAGAAAATACCTTACATGCATTTCGATCGCAGCAAAAACGATACATTATATTCGCATCGACCATAGCAGAAACAATACGTTATATGCACATCGATAGGAACAGAAACGATATGTTATGTGCACAATGATCACAGCAGAAGCGATACATTATATGAACATTGATCGCAGCAGAAGCGATACATTATATGAACATTGATCGCAGCAGAAGCGATACATTATATGAACACTGATCGCAGCAGAAGCGATATGTTACAAGCGCACTGATTATAGCAGAAACGATACGCTTTTATGCACACCGATAACACTAGAAACGATGTTATGTGCACACACTTATAACAGCAGAAACGATACGCATTAAATTAATATACTACCACTTGTTATGTAACACTTCAGCTTTATTGTTGATCCCCGAAGATATGATACGCTTAAGAGTCAATGTTAAAGTGCATTTACATGAGTTCACAACAGATAAATTTTGAAAATATTACAAATCCAAACAGTTCAGCTTCATCAAGAAAAAAATCATATGATTCCCATATCCATTCGCACGATACGTGATTTTAAATATATTTTCCACCAGGTGCTATAAGGACGAAAAGTGTTTAAAGGCATAAAGATATCAAAAGTTTGAAAGCATTATGAATAAAAGTTTCTAATGTTAACTTTCCTTAAGGAAGTTGTAACCTAAAATAAGTACAGTTACAAGTTTTATGATCTTGAAATTTACAGACACATCATTTTAAATATCTCAGTACCGAGGCAATCAATGACTACGATGAAATTGGTCATTATATGATTTTAATTATTCGTTTTATATCCGTTATAGTTATGTAGTTGCCCATTATTTATTCCTGAAGTTTTGCACTGCACGTTCCGAATAGATACAACATTAAGCACCAAGCTCAGCAAAAACCGGTTCTTTTCACTTTAACTTGCATTTCATAGACATTGCGAACATTTAGAATTCGTTATAACGGACCTAGGAGAGAGAACAAAACTCGACTGAGATTTTCTATATTGTTTCGAAGCAATTACATATAAACTGAGTTTCTGGCCATGTACTTTCGTTGTTTTTAATTTGGAATTATTTTTACATTCTAAGATGCTAGATTTAGTAAACATATATTAACCTCAAGATGTCATATGGTCCTTTGTGTCGTTTGGTTGCTGTCTGAACAACGTACACACACACACACACACATATATATATATATATATATATATATATATATATATATATATATATATAAACACTGTCTTCCATAATGTTAAAAAACATCTGATATATATTTGACATAATTTTCTCTGGGTGCATTCATTTGTTTTACAACATTCACACTTTTTAAAAACAAATAAATATTGAATCGTAAAGGTATCATACTAAAAATATCAATATCATGACGTATTGGCTTGTTGATTGTTTGTTTTAAAAAATACCCCCACAATCAAAGATTGAATAATAGAATTACCTTCCAGAAAAATGAGAGAAAATGCATGATATAATCAAATGCAGATGCCTCATCTATGTCTCCACCATTGACATTCATGGCTTCATGAAACTGTTGCTTCCATGACGATGTATCTAGTCGAATACCATCAAGATTTTGTTTAGTTTGATTTGCAATCCTTGACACAAGGCCGTCAAATTCTGAAAGTTCAAAATATATTTAAGACAATTATCACATTAGTCAAAATTTACCATGAGAAAGCTAATACTAGTAAACCGATAGTATATACGAAATCTCTTTTATTAAAAAATAATAAGAAACACATGATTGAACTAAGTAGAAAATGATTTCAACGCTTCAAACAAACTTGTTTAATGTATCACATTAAAGTGTGTGTCCTAACCATTTGAAGATTACGCCGTGCAAAAATAATCATCAATTCCGAGGTTTAGTTTTTAGTCGTCCCCTCTCCCAATATAAGTTACAATATTACTTGTAAAGATCTATAGCATTGATAAAATCGGACTTCTGCCGAAATGCTCGCATCCAATTTTAGCTCAATCGCTTATAAAACGCATTGGAACTCAATCTTTTTATCGAAATAAATGGTGTGTGAAAGTAATTTATTGAGAAATAAAACTTATTAAATGAAAAAAATAAAATCAATTTTATATTAAAGTACCTACAGCAAAGGGATATTCACCGTGCTAAACGTCACGTGCTTTCACATGTAACGGTATGGTAAAATGTTTGATGTACATGTTACCTATTCTAACATCGGACTTGGACTGAATTTTACTCTGCGTATTGCTGTGTGTTTGTTTATTTCACATTGGTTAGAGGTATAGGGGGAGGGTTTAGATCTCACAAAACATGTTAACCCTACCGCATTTTTGCGCCTGTCCCAAGTCAGGAACATCTGGCCTTTGTTAGTCTTGTATGTTTTTTTTTTAATTTTGGTTCATTTATATGTTTCTGAGTTTAGTGTGACGTCCATTTTCGCTGAACTAGTATACACTATTGTTAAGGAGCCAGCTAAGCACGTCTCCGGCTGGGGGATTTTCTCGCTGTGTTGAAGACCCATTGGTGGCCTTGGGCTATTTTCTGCTCTTTGGTTGGGTTGTTGTCTCTTTGACACATTCACCGTTTCCATTCTCAATTTTATGAAGAAAAAGTATATTCACCGCGCTAAACGCTACATGCTTTCACATGTAACGTTATAGTAAAATGTTTAATGTACATTTGGTATCGGTAATTAATTTTCATTAAATACATTGTTTTCTCTCGGAATATGGAATAAAACAATTACTGTCTTTTGTCCCGGTAAATTTGTAGTTAAATTGGCCCCAGTGAATGTCAGTTTTTTCAAAAGTGAAAAAAAAATATATGAACCTCATCAAAAGACAGTAATTGTATATTATTTCAAAGCCGTGATTTGTTAATTAATGTCACTTGTTGTTATGCTAGAACAATTATTGACCTGATCTGACTGAAAATATATATTTATCAAGTTTATATTACTAAAATTAGATTATTATTAAGTCCTGTTTAAGATAGTTAGTATTTGATTGGATGTTAATTAGAATATTTTGCCAATCAGAATTGAGCTTCCATTTGAGTTCAGAAATTACAAGAGAAACATGTGAAGAGTAACTTTTAAAAAAAAAGGTTGACAAGCATAACAATGCATCCTGAGTCAATATCCTTGCATCAGGTTGATAAGAACATGTATTGACATTATCAAAATGCTATGATTGTGTGATATAAGTAATTGAAAAAGTTTGAACATAAGACATCTTTAAAGTTTGCAAAGTAAGACTCAATTAACCTTTATTTCCATCTGAAAAAAAATTTAATTGCACAATATTCTAAGTGATCTTTCGGTCGCACAAAGCTACACCTTTGACTATTTATATGTAGTTACTATAAAACAAACAACAAAACAACGCACACAGTCTAGCTACCAACAGAATGTCCATAAAATTGTTATATACCAGACTGTAAATAAGCGGGAAAGAAGTGTCAAAACTAGGAAGCTAGCTAAGGTAGTCACAGCTGTCGCTTGAATAATGTCGATCAAGAAAAAAAGAATAAAAAATACACAGGTTTCCATGAAGTCTTCATTTCAATTTGATTGAAATCGACAGTATTTACATGAGCCAATAAGTATATCAACTCGTCATACCATTTGAAAGAATAACCATTTAAACTGTAAAAAAATAAAACATTATAACAATTATAACTAACAAAATGCAAGGAACAAACAGAGTAAGTGCTATTAATGACTTAATGTTAAGATGATAAGGTTCTTGTTTCATCAACAAATGAGTTTATGCTTAAACAAATAGCGTAAGGAATGGATTAAGTGCATGTAATGCATATTATCAGGTATTCGAGGCGTTACAGAGGGATTCTATAAGTTCAGGATATGACACATGTGTCAATGTCAGTGCTATGCGAAATGGCTTACTAGTACTTATATTTAATATTTACCTGCATCTGTTACTAACGTCACAATTGTCTTCCCTATTTTTCCAACTTGTGCACCTCCATCAGGACCAAATATCTCTACCTGAAAACTGTGATCTCTTTCTGGTAGCTTAAAAAGAGCAAAACTTCCCCATTTTTTAATATGTCTGCCCTTGTATGTATTAATATTTCTATGTGCTGTATACCATTGTTATGTGGTAACTTACAGCTATAGTAGCTTTCGATACTCAATAATAATGCTTACACTTCGACTCCATTTTAAATTATCTGTTGGCCAACTGTAATGTAGCAAAACAGTATGGTATAAGGATTTGTTAATTCAGTACAAATCTGGAATTCAAGCCAAAATACTAGCATCTGCCGTCACGTTGCTTTCGTGAATCAAGTCACTAATTATGTTTTGCTTTGATTCTATTGATTTAAGGAGGTGTGAAAAGCCTTTTATATAACTAGTGCAAACATTCATTGAAGGACGTACTCTGATCTTTGATGTTCCCTATTATTGTAAGGGAATCCCTTACTTGATAGCCATATAACAAGAACCCTTTTAAATCGCATTAGAGATATAAGAGAATAATATACTAAACTAAATTTAATCTCAATCTAAATTCATACCATAGAATCCATAATGGCAAAAGACAATGTTTTACTGGTTTCTCCATGGTTAAAAGTAAGATCTCCCTGTCCCCCGATGAAATCAACGTTATGTTTCGCTGACATGTCAGTAGTCTTCCAGTTGATTGATACTGACCCATCAGCTCCATTTATTCTTTTTATGATTACTTGAGCAGTTGAATTGCTTTCACGAACGATATAACTTGGCTTTGAAAATTCGAATTTCCCAGGTTCTGAAATGGAAAAATGATTAATAGAGAAGTAGTTTTTTGACAAAGCTATATGATTGTTGATCAATTTGACAAAGCTATATGATTGTAGATCAATTTGACATAGTCTAAGTTTGTTTACTATGTAATATTCTTTATATGTATATTTATACATTTTAAAACGATATTTAACCATTGACAACCTGATATGAAATTTTACCATTTTGACGTTTTTTAAATAAAATACTAGTATTTAGAATACTCGTTTTCTTTCTTGACAACCAATAACGAATTTCAAATTGAATAACATTACATTGGTAGTAAGTTCGGACTAATGTTGAGTCAACCATAAAACAACTCTGATTCCTAATTTTAACTGAATAACTGAACAGAACGAGATACATTTGTAGTCACTAGAAAATGGAATTTCGATTAGGAATTGAACATGGCACTTTAACATTATTTGCAAGAATTCCTTTTCTGGCAGGAAATCAGACTCATATCTTGATTTTCTCCTCGATATTAACCCAGATGGACGACTTCAAACTACAATCTTTGAGAAACGTGATGATTTCAACTTTTCAATTGTCAACTTCCAATATACAAGCAGTAACATACCCCTTTGTCCCATTGTATTGTGTATACAAATCTCTATTGACCCGTTACGCTCGTGCATGTTCACACTATAATGACTCCATTAGCAGGAATGTTCTCCTCACACAAAAAATGCTTCATGGAGGTACGATGAAGAACGAATGAAATCGACATCGACAATACACAAGTTTTACGATCATCATCAAGCATTGATTGACCGAGGCGAAAAGTCTATCTAGCGACGTGTTTTCACAGTGTTTGATCTATGTCTAATCTGTCACATTGATAGTAAGTTTGGACAAATGTCGGGTCAAACTTTTATCACAAAGCTCTGATTTTCAATTCACTCGGAAATGGAACTGAGAGTAGAAAATGAACATATCATTTGCCATTATTTGCAAAAAGTAAAATAACAAAAATACCGAACTCTCAAGGGAAATTCAAAACGGAAAGTCCTTTATAAAATGGCAGAATCAAAAGCTCAAACACATCAAACGAATGCAAGATTTACTTTTCTGGTAGGACGCAAACATATAAACTGGAAGTCATGAATATTACCTGATTACAGAATAACACAGTAACAGAAGTTCTTTAATCATATTAAAGCACTCGTATTTTTTTTTACTTCATATTTATATTTTCCTTTGAGACAATTCACTGTCAATTATTCAGACTATTATTGACCTCCAATGCATGATGTAAGTAAATATATTAGGTTTATAAAAACACTTATTAGACTAATATACATTAAATATAGTCTTACCGTCATCGTTAATAATAGTAATTTGATTTATGGAGACCTTCCCAATGACGACATCGCTTTGCTTTTTTTCCTCTGGAAGATATAATTTAATGAAGAAAAATTCGTCTGGTTCCCATATATCATCATCCACAATTTCAACATAAACCTCACGTAACGATTCGTTGGGTGCAAATTCTACATATTCCTTCAATGGTTTATAATCACTACCGGCGTCAGCTGTTCCATCAATAGTTTCCACTCTGTAATTGGAAACAAATATGTCAAGTTAATGATGACATAGATGACAAAGTTTGAACTTAAATAATACATAAGGATGGAACATACAGATTTTATGTGCTTCATGATTGTTTAATAAAAGGTAAGGTCGAGTCGAACAAAAATTCACTGCCACCAGGGTGTTATTGTTTATTTAACGTCTCCATGGAACAACATGGGAAAGCATTAGAGGTCCATAAAGCGCACGACTTTTTCAAATCAACGCAATTTACAAGGGATAGTTTGACGAATTTCAAGCGCGCGAATATTCTAAACTTTCAGAAAGTTTAGAAACATGACCTTGATATATCAGTTTTCCAGAATGCTGATGATCACGTAACAATGCTTTATAAGTGAGAGGTTTAGCTAGGTTTAATCCCCAATTTTCTACATAAGGAAATGCCTGTACCAAGTCAGGAATATGACAGTTGTTTTCTATTCTCTTGATGTGTTTTAGCCTTTGATTTTGCCATTTGATTAAGGACTTTCCGTTAAAATTTTCTTTGGAGCTCGGTATTTTTGTTCTTTTACTTTTTACTAACCTTTTTTTCTGAACGTATCTTAAAGAAGGTAGATTTATCTGTATACTTTTTTCTATAAATTTGCAGATAAATAACTTACCTCAGGAGTCAAAACGAAAATGGGTAACTCGTTTTTTTTATGTATATCTGATCTATAGGCATCAAAAAAATAAATTTGTGTAGGATACCTTAAATTACTTCGAAATGAATTTGAAAAGATGGAATAGAGGCAAGATTTTTTTTTATTTTCATGTGTGCTTGTAATGACATACATTGGCAAATTATGTTTTCAATTTTTGAATAATAAAACCTCTAGAAAACGAGTAACTTTCTTACACTTCCATAACTAATATCAAATACATATAGTTTTTAAACATTGAAATTTATGGACTGGTCATGTAGTAGTTATGACGATGGAAACCCTTATCAATGTATAGCTTTCTTCAATTTGATAATTGGTCTTCTTGGGTCGTGAAAAATAATTTAATCTTTTTAAATCATCTGAACATCTTTATACTCATTTAAAAAAAGAAAGGAGACGTTCTTTAACATATAGGACATGAGACCTATAACTAGTATAATTTTTGCAAAACTGGAACATTGGAAGAAAAACGAGGAACACGTAGGTTAAATCCCACTTCAACTAAAAAAATAAAAGGAGAAAAACGATATCGACACAGATGGACGACTTCAAACTAGAATCTTTAAGAAACGTGATAATTTTCACTTTCCAAATTTCACAGCAGTAACATGCCGTAGGCAGTTTATATATCTCAATTGAATCGTTATGCTTGTGCATGCTATAAAGAGGATAATCAAACCCCATAAGTCGAAGAAAACCAGACAAAACAACTGCCAATATAATACAATAATAGTGTTTACTGTCCGTTAAGTTTAAGATTATATTACATAAAAACGTATTATTTCATTCTTAACTGTAAAAGCATTGATTTATGAAGAAAAGTCAAACTCGGAAAATTTCTAGAATTAATGAACGTAAATGAAAGAAGCTTGTGTATATTTATAGTTCAATGGATATCAAAATATTTTGGTGATTCAGTAGGATCATATTTTGTGTTTAGTATACTGTTATTTGTCTTTTGGTCGTTTTTCATTTTCGACTTGAGTTTGGTATCGTTCGCCTTTCTGTTTAACAATGGAAATAAATATGTTTCTTTCAGATTAATGTTTTTTTTTCACTTTAATTGATTAGTTCATATCAATGACTCTTACAATACTGTAACTGGTATATCCATTCTCCCAATCCGCCTAAGCCCTATTCTAACTTTGCCTTCATTTTCAAGTACAGCACATGATGATGCAGTAAACTCGACTACAGCAGTTGTTCCTCCATCACTAAGGTCAATGAAATTGATACTTGCAGTAGACGCTATGTCGGACAACATTTGAGACTGCCTCATTTTTACATTTTCATAAAGCTGAAATGCAAAGCACACCCACAGGTTTATTAAAATGATAAATTGTTTTTTTAATATCTATGCAATCAACACAACACAACACACAGTAAAAATATTATACTTTACTTTGGCTTTCTCCAGCTGGCCATACATATGTCTTCACTTTTAAAAAAAATCACATACATTTTTTTGTTCTCAGCAAATGTAAAATTTTTGTTTCAAAGAAAACGTTTCAGAGACCAGGAACCAGATAGCTGTTGCTTAAGAATCATAAATAGGATCCGAAATTCTGATGTTTCATCATATTTCTTTTTTGTGTTAGTTAGTTTCAAAAAGAAGTTGTCCATCTTGAATGGCATTGTCTTACCACATAATTTTCATATAATTGAGAAAATCAATTGAAAGTAATGAATTATATGACTTAATAATTTCAGGTTTTTGTCCGATGAAAAAATTCTAAAAAGAAGTGGAATCTCTCAACAAGACTAGATTGTTTAAAAATGTAGAAGGCTCGGCTTCTCCTTAATTTACGTTCAAAAAAGTTAGCAGTTGTGAATTTATTTTTTGCATTACTATTTTCGAGTGAAAGCGATACAAAAGAAGTTTCTATAAATAAACCTAAAATACTTTTTAAACCGCGGACATACAATAAATAATATGGTCAATGACTGGTGGACAAAATCAAATTCGTTAATAAATTGAATTTCTGTGAAACAGTAGCAGTGTTACACACTCCGTCTGTTTTTTTCTCTCTCTCTATTCTAATTAAAACTTCTTCCGGGTCAAATGTTTCCTTGTAATATTCAATATGCACATTTCTAAACTAAAAAAGTCGGATAGCATCAATATGATAAGTCAAATTTAGGGATAAGTTTTTTCCGTAGGTAGGAATAATAAAGTTTTTATCAACTGTGTTAAATTTATCCGTATCTTGTTGACATGTTTGAGTAATAATATTTACAACTATATTTCAAAAAGCATTAAGACATGTTGGAAATTAGACAAGAGGTTCATGAGAGCCTGATATCGCTCACCTGTAATTTCAGTTTCAGGCATTTGACTTATTTGTAAATCTTACTTTTCTGAACAATTTTGTCATTTACACTTTCTCTCTGTCTATAATAATATCAAAGATAATACATAACCCAAAACTGTAAAATTTCCTAAAAATTAACTATTTCTGGACAGTAACCCAACAGTGAGTTGTCCTATTGGTCTAAAGATTACTTGACAGGTGGATCTAAACCTGTTTAACACTTTCACCTATGTCAGTTTTGCTCTTACTGCTTTAGTTTTAAAGATGAAAGCCAAAAACTTCATTTGACCCCTATGCTCTATTTTTAGAAACTGGCGCCATGTTTTTAAATGAATCAAATCCCCGAATACAATCTATAAGCAAGATACCCTATGGAATATTCAATTAAAGTTTTTAAGTATTTGGCTTAGTAGTTTCAGAGAAGAAAATTTTTGAATAAGTAATTAGACTTTCACAAAAAATGTTAAAAAAAAACGTTTTAAGGGCAATAACTCCTTATGGGGTCAATTGACTATTTTGGTAATGTTTGTAGATCTTACTTAGCTGAACAGTTATTACCATTTTTACTTTCTCTCTATCATTTATAATATTAAATAAAATAACCAAAAACAGTAAAATTTAATAAAAATAAACTATTTCCAACAGTCACCCAACAAAAGGTTGTCGAACTTGTCTGAAAATTTCATAACTGATAGATCATGACCTTTTTATTTCTTTGACTCCCATTTTACTTTTGCTCAAATAGCTGTAGTTTTTGAGATATAAGCCAAAAATTGCTTTTGTTCCCTATGTTCTATTTTAGCCATGGCGGCCATGTTTGTTGATGGATCAAAACTTCGGATACAATTTATAAACTAAATACCCTAAGGAACATTCAGTTAAAGTTTAGAAGTATTAGGCTTGGTAGTTTAAGAGGAGAAGATTTTCAAATGTTAGCAAACATGATGAACAAATTGTGTAAAATTGTCTTTAAAGGGCAACTACTCCTTAAGGGATCAATTGACAATTTTGGTCACTTAACTTTTTTTGCAGATCTTACTTTGTTGAAAATTTTTGCTGTTTACAGATTATATTTATCTTCAATAATATTCAAGATAATAACCTAAAACTACAAAATTTCCTTAAAATTACCAATTTAGTGGCAGCAACCTAACAATGGGTTGTTCGGTTTGTCTGAAAATTTCAGGGCTGATAGATCTTGATCTATTGAACATGTTTATCCCCGTCAGATTTGCTCTAAATGCTTTAGTTTTTGAGATATAAGCCAAAAACTGCATTTGACCCCTATGTTCTATTTTTAGCCATGGCGGCCATGTTTGTTGATAGATCAAAACTTCGGATACAATTTATAAACTAGATGCCTTAAGGAACATTCAGTTAAAGTTTGAAGTTATTTGACTCAGTAGCTTCAGAGAAGATGCTTGAAATAGTTTACGACGACGACGACGGACGCCAAGTGATGGCATAAGCTCACATGGCCCTTTTGGCCAGGTGAGCTAATAACACAACTGCATTATTTTAAAACATTGGTGAGCAGAGTATTTCAAAAATAATTACCGAACTTCAGATATATTAAGAACTTAACGATTTTGTGGTTTAGCAAAAAGAGAAGACGTGTTCTAAGAAACGTACCTCTTTAAGTGTAGAATTGATCTTAGGTATAAGTTTATGTCCACCCGAAAAGCCTCGCCTGGCATTTACTTTATACCACATTGAACTATGGTGTTCTCCTTGAGCAATTTTAGCAGCGGCCAACTTTGCTGCTTTTTCCTCTGATATTTCTCTATTTCTACCTAATTCCTTTGCCAAGTGAATAATTTCTGCTCTCTCTTCTTCTGCATTTTCATCAGGACAGCGGTCAATATCTGTGTGAAGTGGAGAACAGATTAAGGTACTTATACATGTATAACAACTATTTGAAGATATGATGATATTTGAAGAAAGGAAAACATGGTTTTCGGACGATTACCTTATTGAACCAAAATTTATTCTAACCATGACGATCCAACAACGTAAATTTTATAAATTCAATTCACCGAGTACATTTATCTATAAATGTATATTTTGGATTCCCGACGACAGCTGTTACATTGCTGAAAATGTCATATTTCTAATTGATACACTTCCGGTTGAAAGCAAAGGAACAAGTAATATTTGAGAGACGACAAATATAAATGAAACGACGGAATTTCTTATGACATTGGAATAGTTCTCGAATATCTCTTTCCTGATTTCTGCATTTATCCTAAATTAGACATAACTACGAATGAATTATTTTTTCCTTCGAAATAGCCCTGGTAGCCTGCAGTAAAGATCCAACTGATTTTATCCCTTGAATTATTGCACACTTATTTAAAGTATTTGATTGGTATGACTATGGTCCTACTAAAACTGTTTTTCGACTGAGTTTAAAGCTGAAAATGGTTTTAAATTAAGAAATAAATGTAATTTGTCATTTATGTTTCACCTCGATCTTGCAACAGAGCAAACCAATACAAGTACATTGGAAGTTAATAAATGATCTCTTAATATAACTTAATACTCAAATTTGTATTTTTGACAGAATCAAGCTTTGAGGATTTAAAATATATGGAGCTATAATTTTATATTGTGACCTCTACTAACAGTTTTGTTCCAGTAAGAAAGATATGGTTCTGTATAAAAATTTCTTGTTATGAACATTATAGTTATTTTTTACACGAAACATACATATATCTGTATTACCATTAATACACTATTAATCAAAGGAGCTTTTTGTGATCGATGGTAAGGAATTGGATTAACAGGATATACTCTAGGCTATAATTAATTTTCATTTTATTTAATGAAACACATACAGACACAGGAGAAAGCAAATTTGATGTACTTTTCATGTTGTTGACATTTCAATTCTCGCTGGTACATAGTTAATAAAGATTTTTGAATTATTAAAGCGATTTATTATTATCAAAGCATGAGAAGATTTTTTTCCGATATTAACTTTTTGATTTTAACCTTACAAGCTAATTAAAACATGTGCCAATTATGTTCGATGTATATTTGGTAAGTCAATAATTACAGAGGGATTTGTGTCCCTATATTGAATTCTATTCTCTAAAGATGGTTCAAAAGTAGAAAAATTGGTACCGTTAATTTAAAACTATAAAAGCTAGTAGAAAAATAAACCATAACTAATCATTTCTAAAACTTTACATATTTATGTTATTTAATTGACAAAAATGTTGTTGTCTATTTGTTAAATATTTTTAGTATTTTAGGTCTGAATTAATGATTGATAAAAGCCGACATTTTCTCTCAAAACCGCATACAAGAAGTTTTATGCTTGTGGTAAATATGTTATTGCAAGTGTTTTACTGATGTTTAGATGATTTATTTATTTTGTGTGAATATCTTATTATTTTTGATAGATTTTAACCTTACTACTTTATCATTTTTGAAATAAAAGGACAAAAAGTGGCCTAATCCTTTTTAAACATGTTCTTTTGAAAAGTTGGTAAACACTTTTTTTCTTCTTCTTTTGTTGTGTTTACAACAAGAACGTGTAGCAATGAAAGAGATATATACTTAACTTTTATTTTTCACGAGTCACACGCACCTTCTTTTCAATTTAGAATTTTTAATTTTATTGAATTTGATTTTATTGATTGAGAAATAATGAATCGTAAGGGAAATCCAATCGCCCTTTGGAGATTAACAGTCTTTGTCGTAAGTACCTTTCAGCAATATGACAGTTGTTTTCTAGTCGTTTCATTGGTTGATATGTCGAGCGTTTCGTTTTGTCAGTTTTAATGGACTTTCCCTTTTTAACTTGTTTTGTTATTACATTTATTCCCTATTTGTGCATGACCAGAGATAATTTTTGAACCACACCGTCCTGAATTGATGCAAGTATGTACATATACAACTCGGCGATTGTTTCGACTCTTATCTATATGCTAAAAAAACACATATGATATCTCGCATTTAGTTCAGAGTAATGTCTATATTAGTACAGGAGAAGCTATGGACAAGTGGTGTAGTGACAAAATAGTTCTTTGCGCAAGAATAACTTGAAATCCTTTTCATTATTCTCCTAAATTAGTTCAAAACATTGTATTTACTTAGAGAAATTCAGTTTTTTTAAACATTAACATATCACCAAACGTATCTATATAATGTTCACTTAACTGGTCGTCATTGGTAAACAATCCTGATATAATTGGTTTTAAGATCTATACACCATATTTGCCATAACAGAAATAATATTCTGTTGCCAGGACTATATATCAATATTAACAATTCTAATATATATAACTTACCAGAAATTATAGACACAGATTTATCTAAATTTAGTAATCTATTTATATACAGAAATCACAAAAGTATACCATTGAGGCATGCAGAAAGTGTGTGCAGAATCTAAATTCCAACATATACATACATATTATTATTATGCAAGCATTGATTTATTTTTTTCTCAGAATAAGATTTTTGTTTTATTTTGTTTTAAGAATTGTTAAAACATGCTGGTTTTTAGATTCTACACTGCCGAAAGTATTGTTAACATAAGAAAGAGAGTGAAAGATCGGAAATCTAAGACTAATTAACTTGGGTCTAGGAGGCATAAACAACCAACATAAAATACAAATAGGTAGGACTAATTTCCAATGAAAATGTCACACCAGGATCATTATCGAAAAGACTTATTCTTGATTGAAATTTACAGTATTAAAGCTTTATATGTGTACTTTCCGTCTGAATCAACAGAATGTTGTATTCATGAACAGAAAACCACATTATTTATATTAAACATTGGTCAAAACTTTAATTTTGATAGATTAGGGGGTTGTTTTAAGTATTTGTCCAAAAATGTGAACGTGAATGACATTCCGAAAGAGAAACGAAACTATCCAAAGTAAAGTCGTGATTGTCTTTCAGGTACACATTAATTCATATTGCTTCCCGATGTCCGTTGGAAATTTTACAAAAACATCAAAATATTACAATGTTGTCATTTTAGAAACGTATAGCATTGAATGACATTTTGATTTAATGTATGAAGATAGAAATGTTCAAAATCATTTAAGTGTAATGATATTGTGATCCTGTGAGTGAAATAAAAACCTTGGGAATTAGTCATACCTTTTACTGAATACAATCTGCTGCAAGTTGAAATAATAAAAATGGTTAACGCATACACTATTAAACGATCTTAAAGAAAGCTCAATTTTCAACGGCACTGACTGAATTATAACATGCACATGTCTTAAAAGGATTATTCCATTTCATACTATGTGGGATAAACATGCATTCATTAAACTTAATACCTATCCTGATTCGCACTTTCACATCCTTAATTGTGGTATCTGACTTTTCACCTATATAAAAATAACTTTCAAAGTAAACGATAATATACAATTCTAAAATGACTGGGCAGCTGAAAAAAAGTGGACTGTTTTAATGATCACATATAAAATCGGAATAAAAACGTGCATGTATAAGACAAAGTTGCTAGTGATGAAAATGTGAAGATAAGACGTTCATTGTAAGTCAAGACATTTCACCAGTTACCTTCAACTAGTGATGAAAATGTGAAGATAAGACATAATTGTAAGTCAGACATTTTACCAGTTATCTTCAACTAGTGATGAAAATGTGAAGATAAGACATAATTGTAAGTCAGACATTTCACCAGTTATCTTCAACTAGTGATGAAAATGTGAAGATAATACATAATTGTAAGTCAGACATTTCACCAGTTATCTTCAACTAGTGATGAAAATGTGAAGATAAGACATAATTGTAAGTCAGACATTTCACCAGTTATCTTCAACTAGCCTGATATTGCATAGAATATTGACGTGTTTGGCAGATTCTATAATTTCTACTGTGGTGTTAACTCACACGTTTATCTTTAGCACATTTCCCTTTTTCTTTATTTATTTACTATACCATTGAATCACATATACATATTTAAAGTGCCTAACAAGATTTTTTGAGGTAGACACAATTGACCTTAAAACGATCGTATTGAATTTTGATGACCAAAAATAGGCAGATCGGACATATTTTGACTTTATTTACTGACTACTTTTGTTTGGGATTAATTGTAATTATGACATTATAATGAGACTGAAAAATATTTCTTTTTGGTCAGATAAACAATACTTTTACCTGGCGTAGCCGTGCGTAAAATGTATTTCGGCATTTCTCTTCGAGAAATGACTTGGTTAATGGAATAAAACGTCTGATTTGCAAACTTTCTCTTTTTTCTCCGAAATAGGCTATTAAAAAATAATGTATCTACTCTATAAGTGGAAATTTTGTGAAAATATAAAAAGTGGCAATTCTTAACTTTCATACTTTTAGTTTCATTGATAAAAATTAATATGGACTCGTCCAGTGTCCAGTTTGAAGCTCATTTAAGTTATTGTACACATTCGTGCATGTTCTGATTTAATCAATATACATGTATGAAAAAGGGCAGTTTGAAGGTAAACTAATAATAACTTAATCCAATCAAATTGCGTAAGATTCAATAACAATGACCGGTCCACATCATGATTAGTAATAGGGATTAATATTTTAAAATTTTGCCTAACATACTTTTATAGGGTTTCAAATTTTTTGCATTCCCGTAGACAACTTCCCACTTCTCAGTATTAACATACTCTTTGCCCAATCGTCTTGCGTTTATATATCTCAATTGATTTGTTACGAACGTGTTCACATTATACAGACTTCATTAAAAGGGGGTTCTGCTGGCGCAACAACTAACACAACAGTGCAATATGGAAGAATGACTGAATTCGACACTTGACGTCGCTCCATTTCGACAACACCAACATATGTTCTTTACAAACAACCTTTCTTTCAATTAATCGGTATGTTGACACAAGTCCTTTCCTTTCATATCAGGTTAGTGAGGTTTCTAATCTATAAGATTCGTTAACAACAAGAAAGATCGTATTTCATAAGAACCTCATATTTCATGCAATTTACACGTATAAGCACAAATAAAATCGTTAATAAATAAGAAACTTGTTCAGATCTGGAATGATTGGAAAAAAATGATAAAAATAGTTTTCTGATCCTCCAAATGTTTGCGTTCATAACAAATACCGATATTTTCACTTACAAAAAATACAGGTCTAATCACATGTATAACCGTTTGATTTATGTATAGCATGTAATTCGTTTTCCTTTTTCAAAACTTCAGAAGCAAAAATTAACCAAAGTTAATCAACTGAAATACAGATGGAAGCAAATAAATAGAATCGACTTATGCGTCAACATACCGATTATATAAGTTACCAACGTCACTGAGTGGACATAAAACGAATCTGTATGGATTGAAATAGTTCTGAAAAAAAATCTATATTAAGTTGGAACAAGTTCTATCCTCTCTTAAAATCTTCAAGAAATGTCGGGAGAACCGTTTCAGTACAGTGTCCAGAACAATTTTTCTGACGCCTTTACAAACACTGTTCAACACCAGAACAGTTTTTGATTGTTGTAATCAAGAACAGTTTTGAACAGTTCTACCATGGAACAGATTCTGACATTTCTGTTTTTAGAACCGTTTTAGACAGTTCTGTTTATTCATGTATTTGTTCATTTATTTTGTTTAATTTCTTAATTTTATCTTTATTATTCTGAACAAAATATTTGAAAATATTGTTGTTATTTTTCATGATTATTTTGTAGTGTACATATTAGATTGTTATTATCATTTTTAGTTCCCGTTTATGAACTGTTGTGCATAGCGTATAACAAATCTTACTTAACATAAAAATACTAAACCACATATTATCATTGCTTAGAAATGTTCAATCAGTTAAACTCGGCTATAAAAAATAATCTTTTCGAGAAAAAAATATGGTCAATGTGTAATACAAATGGTGTAAAAAAAAAACCTCGAACTGCGTAATTGTTGCTCGGAAGAAAGTATAATATTTTTGAAAAAATTTACGAAAATATCAGAAAAAGAATTATCATATACAAACATAATTATTTTTGATTAAAACATGGATTACAAATATAGAGTAATTAAAGTAATAACATATTTTTAAGCCGTTGTTCATTTTTTGATCATCTTAATTTGAAATTAATATCATTATATAAAGCTTCAGGTTTTGTATTATAGACTATTGCTGATCAACCAAACCAAGCGAAATACTTCAATTTACGTTGCAGATTGTGGAAAATATGTAGAATCTCATGTTCTGATTTTTTAAATCAGTTGAATTAACGATTACATGGCTCCTTGCAAAATACTGATTGAGTAAAAAATAAATTTCATTTCACACAATAATGGTACGGTATGTTATCAAATTTTAGATAAAAAGTAACTGTCTGTTTCCAAAACATATTCTTGTTCATAAATACAAATAAATGGAATGTTTCTGTATCTATATTGAATAATCAGTTTGTTTATTAAAAAATAGAAATGAAAGATTTTAATCGAAATCGATTTGGAAATTCAATATTTTCATGTAATGCTTTGTAGAAAACTGATACATAACAGTCATGATTTTAGAGCAAGTTCCAAAAGAGGCCTTGTGACAAACGACGAGATCTCCGCACTGTAGAATAAGCTGAAATGAACAATTAAAAAAAAAAACAACTATCCATTGATGTCTTTTTTTCCCCATTTTATCACCAAGCGTATAAAAGCATTACAAAAAAAAAATAATCATTGGTTGGTTTTCAATTTATTTTACCGCTGTATAATCAAAGTGGTACTGTAACTTTTCTATGCCAGGAAAGGAACCCGTCACCAGATGATTGCGGTTCTAGCAAATGAAAATCTATTTGTTCCAAACAATATAAAGTATTCGCAAAGACTCCTCACTATGCAAGCCTTTTCCCCTAAATGTTTAAATTGCAGTATTTTGAAAATCTACTTAGGTGCAAACAATTAGTAAATATTTTAGTCAGAAAGATAGAAAGAAAGTCGTTAAAATCCTGTGCCTATAAAGATAAGTGGAAAGAAAAGGTATTATAAAAAGATATTAATATGTGATGTCTATTATTTACCTTCTACCGCCTTTGGTCCTGAAATGAATGTAGAAGGGTATCATTTGTCAGTCATGTAACTGAACGATCATGAAATTTGTAGAGTGCTTTTGGTTAACTGCCGGCCAGTAGGTAACACAAGTGTTGCAAAATATTAACTTTTCCACAACCATATCATTTTGGCATCCCTAAATGTATCACAATTATCCATCTTAAACTGATCTCCTAAACCTCCTTCTAATGTTGTATTAACGTGCAACATTTGATGAACATTACATCCAATTGGGTGTGAATGTTACCATATGAAATTCAAACGAAAAGTAAAACTTTTAAATAATTTTCAAATCGAATACAAGTTCGAGTTTGAGACAATGTTCAGTTTACAATTCAAGTTTGAATTCAATCGCGTATAAGTTAAAGCTTTTAGACGAGATTAAGTATATTTTTACTTTATTTTCAATATGAAGTTTGACGCATGAATAAAATAACATCTGATTTTTTATTCCTTTAAAAGAGAGGCGAAAGATACCAAAGGGACATTCAAACTCATTAGTCGAAAATAACCTGACAATGCCATGGCAAAAAAGAAAAAATGCCAAAAGACAAACAACTGTACACAAAACACAACATAAAACTAAAGACTGAGCAACACGAGCCAAATGAAAAACTCAGGTGCACCGGAAGGGTTAGCAGGTCATGCTCCACATGTGGCACCGATCATGTTGCTCATATAAGTAGAAACCCGGTGATAAGTCTAATTTGGTAGGCCACATTTAGGAAATGGGAGGACGTTATTGTGGTTACGACAATTGGAACATATCCGTCATCATCTGTGATGATTTCAACTTCACCACTTGGAACTCTTGGTTCAGTGGCCTCCTTGTGAGCAGCAAGTCTGTTTCAAGGAAATCATTATAGGAAATGCAACCTAATAAGATCAGTTTCGCTAAAAATGCATAGACAATAATTTCTAATTGAACAGAAAATGTTCCAACTGAAAAATATCTCATTAAAATACAAGCGCTCTGTTTATTTTTGTTCATCATATTGCTACATTCTTAAAGCAAATATACCATTATGCCACATATTCCTTGCCATGACAGTTGATTATAAACATTAACATTAAACCGTGTAGACGTTAATGACGTTCATTGCATTTAATTCAATACTTATATCCATTCGTTTGATGTGTTTGAGCTTTTGATTTTGCCATTTGATTACGCACTTTCCGTTTTGAATTTATATAGATATTAACATAAGTATTGTCAAAATACGTATATAAACACTAACACCTTATTGTCAGTTGATATGAAATAGGGTCAAAACAGAAAATTAATTTCTTAAAATTTAGCTGATCCATCATAGTTTTCCCCACTGTGAAACTTTGAAACTTTAAAAAAAAAAGAATAATAAATATGACAATTATTGGATCAAAGACTTTAATATAAAACCATCAAAGTTTATCATTTTTTCATATATCTGAATTTTTATTTTGAAAATCTTAATTGTAAGCTTTAAATTAAGTTGATATTAGGAATTTATCTATCTCGTTCATATCTATTCCTCCTTCAATTTAAGAAATGCCTGTACCAAGTCAGGAATATGACAGTTGTTTTCCTTTCGTTTCATGTGTTTGAGCTTTTGATTTTGCCAATTGATAAGGGACTTTCCGTTTTGAATTTTCCTTGGAGTTCGGTATTTTTGTTATTTTGATTTTAACCTGATGGGCATAGACTTTGATATGTAATTTAGTGATATTAAGGCTTATGACTCTTTTTATATCTCATCAAAAAGATACAGAATAGTGAAAAAAACTGACTCATAACAGATATCATTCACTTTAAAACCTCTTCCGTTAATATAAGTAAAAATACTGATTTCCAATCGTCTAATTGATAACGCAAAACAATGGTAATAAAAACGTCACTGACCACGGACTAATGAATTCGGTGACTCTCATATAACCTTTCATTAAGTATGATGTGTATTAATTTACGATCACGAAAACACATGTACTTAAAGTAGCCATTACGATACAGCGCAATAAACGTAACTATTATTGTCATTTCTTTTTAAAAACTTTTATTAGTTGCATATTTCTTATACTTCAATGGCGAATTTTCGGTCAATGTTTTTGTTAAAAAGAGGGACGAAAGATACCAGAGGGACAGTCAAACTCATAGATCGAAAACAAACTGACAACGCCATGGCCAAAAATAAAAATAAGCAGATCCTGCTCCACATGTGGCACCCGTCGTGTTGCTTATGTTATTACAAATCCGGTAAATAGTCTAATTCGGTAAGTCACATTCGGGAAAAGGGAAGGGTATTGTAGTTACGACATAAGGAACATATCCGATATCATCTGTGAAACGGTTATTCCATAACGGTCAACCAACTCGTGATGGCGTCCGTAAAATTTACGAAGGGATGATTTCAACTTCACCATTCGGAACTCTTGGCTTAATAGCTTCCTTGTGAGCAGCAATCCTCTATCAAGGAAATCATGATAGGAAACACAAGCCCGGGAATATCGTATCAATTGGGAGATATATACTCCGTATGCAGGCGCTGCTGGAATGTTGCTACATAGAAATGGAAAGTTCACAATTGGGAAGCTGAAATCATCTCTTTTGTTAAACTGAACAAAGCAGAAAATAATCTCATTCAAAAGAACATTTTTATGATATTATGAAAATAGATACTGGTAATCATTCACTGTAACAGTCTAGATCTGTAGAATAAAATCCAAAATTCATGAAGAATAAATACCTTATCAAATTTGACTTAACTAGTGAAACAAATAAGGAAAATTAAATCCCACCTTTTTCTTGATAAAAACATGAAACACTTTTAAAGAGTTCATGCGATCAAGTTCCAAATATTACCCACTAACACCTTAATACAAAGAAAGGAGGTTTACTCTTAGAATTCTCGTAGGTTTACTCTTGGAACCGATTGAAATATAAAATCTAAAGTATTTCAAGATTTTTTAAATTCTACATTTTCTTATTCTAAATGTTGTATATATGTTGAGATATGATTTCACGTTCAATTCAATTCCAATGTGCTGATTACATATCTTCATCTGACCGAACTCTAACAGTTAGTGAGCTCACTGTGATTCTTGCAATCATTTGTACTGGTTATAACTAACACCATAACATACTGACTTTGTTTGAATAATTTAGCTAGCGCATATATTTCCAAACGTATAAATTAATCTGAAGGTTAACCGGCTGGGCCTATATAAAGTTCCTTCCCTTCTTTTCTTTTTTTTTGTTTTTTTTTTGTTTTTTTTTTTTGTATTTTTGAATTTTGTTTAAATTTTATTTATACTTTTGAGGGAGGTGAAACTATTACATCAAAGAAAACAATACTGATGTATTAATGCGTGTGTCAAGAAATAATTTCCTTTCGATTATGCCCGAGGCGAAGATATTTGCATATCTATCAAACCTAAAACAAATTTTGAAGAGTTTTAACAACCAAGGAGAACAAAACAGTAGGGTAAAACCTAGCCAAGTAATCAATATATACAAGGAAAACAATCACTAAATTTCTAAATGACTTTCAAATTTCGTCAGTTCAAAAAAAGAGTGACATTCAAAGCTCACAAGTCGAAGAAACAATAACAACGCCATGGCAAAAATTACGAACAGACGAACAGATCCAGAAAACACTACTTTGAAAACTAAAGACTGAGCAACGCGAACGCCGCCAAAAGACGGAAGTGATCTAAGGTTGTCCGAAAGTGTTAGCAGTTCCAATTTCTCTTAATCAATATTTTGTTATGCAATTTATCATTTTTATTATGTTGTGTGCATGTGTTTACTTTCTTACATTATGCAATTTTCTCAAATATCATGTTATTTGTATAATGTGTTCTTGTTGTTCTATCCTTTCATCTTTTCACTTTAACATTAACATTACGTTATCTCGTTACATTATGTTGTGCAACGTCATTAATAGAGTATTTAAGACTTTCGTGCTCATGAATTTTTTATGACCCTCAAGAGTCTTGAGGATTGTGATCATAATGCAATTTCCGTTATCCTTAATGTGACGACACGTTTCATTTACACTTCTAAGAAGTCAGTGCAAAAGAGGTCGTCTATCTTGCTACTTGTCACCCTTTTCTATCGTAGACAATTGACAGAACAAACAAACATTGCAGGTTGTCATGTTTAAATAGATTTACAAATAAAACCTCACATGAAACCATCAATATCAAAGCCCAGTTATCAGAATCGATCTTGTATAATACCGATAATATATCATTGGGGTTTCAGATCAGATATATATTGCTGAACACTTATTTCCTTCATAAAGAGCATTTCTTAACCCCTATATATTGTTATAAAATGTATTGTCTCCCATAAAAATTTATTAGGCCAGATTTTAGTCATGTTAATTTCTATTTCATTATTTTGTATTCAACTATATTTATTTTACCCATAATGAACCTCTTATAAGTGCTTTTACTTTTAGAAAACAATTGGTTCGGTAACAATATAAATCCCAGAAAAAAATTTAATGTTGCAGATCATATTGATTTTGTCGAGTCTAGTATCCTGTGCCAACTAAACATAAATAGGCTGTTAAGACGCCTTTTGAATGCCAATTGTAGTACTGAAATAAAATGATGGATAATTTGCATATAATATCAGTTTTTACATCCGAAACTGCTTTTGAGTTAGAAATGTCAAATTGTAAAATATGCTTTCGTGTGTTGAGAAAGTTAATTAAAAGGTGGCCCTAACAAGACAATATACTTTCATTATTTCTAAAATTGACAATGTGCCTTTTTGAAGTGGAATGTCATAAAAGAGATATCTTTGTTATTACGTTATACCATGAATAAAATAAAATGATTTTATATGGCAAATAAAGGTTTGACATATGTACAGAAGTTCATTCATTCTTTTATTGTATCTTTTGACGAATTTCAACGAATTATTGTTTAATTTATCACTCTGGAGAAACATTCCATTAAACTTTCAAAAGGTTGACATATTTTTTCAAACTGTTTTGCAGATATATAAAATTTTCAATTCTTGTAAATCAAAATGTATAAAACTTTTATTACTTGTTTATATCATTCGTAACACAATACACATTGTCATGTAGACCCGAATAGATGGTATTACTAATAGTTCATTATCCATTGTATTAAAACTAATGTTCTCCTCTCTTGAGGAATACTCTTTAAAATATACAACGCTTAAATTGATGTGATATGAATATTTAATGCATCTAAATTTCAATTTCATATTCTAGTACATAGAACACTTAAAATCAGACTGTGTAGTGGGTGCATTGGAACCTATAATTGTATTTAAAAATGAAATAATAGTGCACCTTAGGGGTTGCTTGTGCTAAAACGATCATTTAGTGAAAAAGTAGTTACACGTAATTTATGTGTGTTGTTATTGTACGTAAATAGGGGGACCAATTTTTTCTTATCCTAAGATTATATAAAAAATTACATACCAATTCCTATTTCGACTTCAGACGATGTCTTGTTGTTCTTCACGCAACAGCATCCTTTATCGACAGCATACGACACTATTATTAACGCGGGAAAAAGCAAGAACGTTACAATGGATTCCCACAGGTCTACAACGTTAGGTGTTATTACCATGAGCACTAGCGCTAACCATACGTATGCGAAGAGATTAAAAACAGACGTAACTACATAAACTGGTATTACATTGATTCTACGAATTTCGTCTTTTGGTATACTAATAATACAAATTGCAGTAATAACTAATAAATTAAACGCAGCTGATCCAACAATCGTTCCAGGTCCTAGTTTGCCAGGCTTAAATTTATTTCCACATATTTCTATCACATTCAGTAATATTTCTGGTGCACTTGTTCCAAAAGCAAGTAAACTAAGATTAGCTACAGTGTCATTCCAAACCTTCACTTCGACATCCCTAATGCCTTCTTTCACATCAGAATCAGCAATTTTTACAATTTTTGTTTTGCTCGTAATTTTCTCTATAGCGCACATGAAAGTGTCTGCTACAATAGCTATTCCTAGAAAACACCAAATCATTGCAATGAGATATAACGTGGCTCTTAATCCAACGTGCCATGTTGATTCGTTGAAAATGGGTAGCACAAGTCCCGAGCATTCACTCATTTTGTCATCGTTTCAATCTAAAAAGACGAACAAGTAAATAGTATTGTAAAGCTATATGAAGGTTTGTAATTACACAGTTATGTCAACTTATTATCGATGTTTTTATTCTAACTTTAGTATAAAAGTAATATAATTTCATTAACATAAAAATAAAGGATATGGTATGATTGCCAATGAGACAACTATCCCCTAGAGTTCAAATGACGTGGATATAAGCAAATAAATTAGCACCGTACGATATTCAACGATGAGAAAAACCCATACCGTACAGCCATCTATAAAAAGCCCCAACAATTCAAACGAAAAATCTAACGACTTGAGTCATGCTTTAGTCATTAACAGCGCTGTAATCAAGCATGTTTAGATAATACATCAGGTTAATAACTCAAAATCCCAGTTAACGATGAAAAACTTTTGTTTTGAAATCACATTTACTTTTGTTCTAGCTGTTTCAGTCAACAGTTCATATTTGGATGTTCTTGATTTTCCATTCAATAGTTCGTTTTTCTGTATATTCTTTTCAGACTAGAAAACCGAGAACGTCACATGATTTGCAATGTGAATAAGAACTTATTTTTCTTTGATTTGGTAAAATACAACTCAACGTTAACAACCCGTTGTTAAGCCGTTACAACTAGAATACAAGACTTTAGTTGTTTACATTCTCTTCCTTTGGTCTCTGGTGGATAGTTTTGCCACTAGTATCATACCACGTTTCCTTGTCTTAATAAAGATCAAATATATAAACACATAATACTTTAGACTCCAACATATAAGTACTTTGCATTTCAAATGATTTAATATGGTGACGTCTTTATATTTCAAGCGAATAAAATTTTAAACCAATAGTTCATCATGCTTTACTGATTTTCAGTGTACATAGTCAATCAATCTAATTCGCAATATACCATATTAATTACAGTAGTCATTTTGACTTTTAACATACTTTTAAATAATACAAATGAAACTTCTCAATATCTAATATGTTATTCATGTGTTTTCTTAATTGTTTTACATAACAAAGAAGGGTTGATAAAAAACATATATAGGACTAGATTGATTTACATGCAAATTTAACTAGGCAGAACAAAATAACATGAAATGAGATGCGAAATTATGTTCAACGTGGAAAAGCAAAAGTCAAATTAATGCATATTTAAATATTTTTTCAAAGGATGAGATGCACAGATGGCCCTACTTGGCCTGGAATATTAATGTATTAAAAAAGTGATTTTTGGTAAAAAGTACATGATTAGAATGTGGGAAGTTTAAACTGTAAGCTCTGATACATGTATAATGTATATTCGCTGAAATTTGATTAACCAAAAACGGTCTAAATTAAATTATCTTTCGAAATAAATTGTAAAAAATTGATAGCTTAGACACTTGATTGTCAGATGGAATGCATGCAAACAATTGAAAATAACGCTTCATATATTTGATGCATTTGAAGTGCTTTTGGTGATTTACCTTTTTCAGGAACGCTCAAGCCCAAAAATTTGAAAGCCAAGGATGTTTCCCTACTTAAATACTTGTGGAGCTATATGACCAAAAGGGACATAAAAAGAACAGTCAAATCGACCCTTGATTAACTAGGTCAATTTCTCAATAATTTCTAAATTCATCAACGGAGAGTTTGGGAAAAGTATGTTATTAGTTAAGAACCAAGGAAATATGTGTAACAGATGTATTCGTCGTACAGAAAACACTGGATTAAATAATTTAGTTGATTATTGTATGTCCTGTTCCTTTGCAGGTCTGAAAACCATATAAGAGTTGACTGAATTCTATGTATTTTTAAGAAAAAGGTTAGAAGGGGCGTTTCACATCATAATTACTCTAATTGTTACGTCATGGATTCTTTACTACTTGATATAAGTTTTGTATTACCGACTCTAAATTGCAATTTTAAATCTACAGTTCAAGTATAAGTGCACCATGTCCTTTGTCTCATACCAGCACTAGCTAATTTCTCATTTCACATATGTTACTTTACTAAACATTATAATACATATACATGAAGGGAAGATGTGGGGTATACATTAATGAGACAGCCAACATTAAAAGATATTTTGAAGGTTCATCTCGATAAAAAATATTTTTTCGGGTGGTATCGTAGCTAATATCATAATATTAATGAGCAGATATCATCACTGGGCGATTGGACATTGTGTCCAGTTTTTTTCTTAAACGCATTAATTTAAAAAACAAAAACGTGTAAAAAGTAATGTGCATGAATTGTTATAAAGACTAATACCGTATACTATGTGATGGACAGTAACTAATTGAGCTGAAAAAAGGGACCTAATCATACTATCATCTCCACCAGCCTTATATTCCTTTATTATCACACAAAGATTCATAATATTGGAACACAATACGATTGAAAACTTCGATAGAATCGATTTATCATCAATAAAGTTTTCCATCAAATGACAATATAAACCACGTTTATATAGCTCCTTTTATACTGGGGGAAATCAATTTATCAAACTCATTCTTTCTTAAATAAACTGGATGAATAAACTTGTTTCGTCTAGTGGCATCTTCAACTCAGTTGAAAAAAGCAAGTAAAGTCAGAAAACGGGTTTCATATAATTCCGAATTGCTAACATCATAATAAAACTCTGGACACAAGTTATGAATGAATTCTAAAGAAGCAACAGGAGATCTGAAATCAACATAAGATTCAGTGAGGCGCCACAGAAAAATACAACAATTACTGACAAGATTGGACATTCAAAAAACCATGACTTGAGATAAACTAATTTATTGGAACTTAGCCCCACCATATTAGAAAAAAAACCACATTATCTCAGTTTCAAATTGATTGATACAGCGAAAACATTGAATTCAGCATTAAATTATTGATAAATTGTTTTAAAAAATATATTACGAGCCATAGGTAATGTGTATTCCATTGTCCTCAAATAAAATTTATGAATAAATAGTATAAATGCAGAAATATTAGAGTCGAAATCTATATGGGACACAAACCAAATACAACAAAAGTGCAGAATTTTATCTTAATTTATAGACCGTCAAAATAAAGAGTAAAAATAACAATGGGTCGTAATTAAAGTTCATCAATATTTGTAAAAGGTTAATATACCAAAGGCAGTTCTAATGTTATAGATTAAGATACAGACAGACAGATATGGGAGTAAAATTATTTAAAAAAAAGAGAGAGGCGAATGATACCAAAGGGACATTCAAACTCACAAGTCGAAAAAAAAACGACAACGATTTAAAAAGAGTAGAGCAGTTGCGTTGACAAGGGTAGCATTACATACAAAGCATGCATTACATGTCATGCGGTTCCAACGTAGTTTAAGAACATAAAAAAATGAACACGGACTTAATGACAAATGGGTGATGGTGCTATATGGCATCGATGACAAAATCAACACGTCTCTAATGTGTTGAACTATCAACCACTTTGTGATGGCAATCGCTGAACTTCTGACGTGCTAATAACAGTCGATCTTCCTTATAAGCCTGCTCTCAGAAGTTGAGTAATACAGACACCACAATGGCCAGAAAAAAGAAAAGGATAAAAACATTTCACACTTGACAGAAACCTTAAGATTGAGCACCACAATATTTGATTTTCTATCCCTGTGACCCCTCTCGATGAAGGTTTTCCAACATTCATTATAATCCACGAAACCAACTTCTATTGATTTGGTTGTGCGCTCCATTGACAAACAATATCTGTTTTGAACATAGTTCTAAAGAGGAACATATGACGTAATCAGACACAATTCTTCTGATTTTATAGACTACCGAGGGTTGGAATTTTAAAACAAGCATAAATCGATGAATAAGGTTGGCAATTTATTTCATTTACATCTGGGTTTTTTTTATCCCAGACTAAATTTGTATGCATATATCAATGTTAAACTAGCTTTAAAATGTGAATCAGAAATCTCTAAGAAAATAAACACAGAGAGCAACAAACATCTTTATATGCAAAGGACTATGCAAACATTATGCATGAATTCAAATTCAGACCAAAAACCAAACATGCGATGTCAATCATTATCATATCAATAAAACATAGTGTTTGATTGTCTCTACTTATACCGAAGATACTTCAATGGAAAAAAGCCATTAAGTTTTCTGATATAGCATAGAATGAAAATGAAGTAATGATTGTTGTAGATAAAAACTAGCTAATTCAAAAAGGATTCTCTAGAGACCGGTAGCAAACAGGCTAATTGGTTAATAATTCTTCATTTAAATATTTTCCTTGTCACCTTAGAGACAAAACTGTATTAATTACATTTACCTTGTTTCATAACAATAAATCATCATGGAATATTTACTTTCTGCAAAGATTTTAAGCTACGTCAAATAGATTTACAATTGTTCACTGAAATATTATATAGGATATTCATTTTCTATAGAAAAGACAGAACACCATAACAGTTATGTATTATTCATAATATTTCTAAACGATTTGATTATTTTGTTACAAATACAAATGACACTTTGTTTATTTTTTCGGTAAAAGCCGAGATCAAAAGGCATTTCATATTGAATCCAACCTCCGATCAATCTAAATCTTCGTTAAAAATTGTTACAGTCATTCTCTTTATCCAAGGTTAACTAGTTCAGTGTGACCTCCGTGCCTAGAAAGTTTTGAATGTGTTGTTGTAGCGTGCTTCGTGTCCTTTCTTTGCAACTTTATTGTTTTAATTCATCTCATAATCTATTGTCCGTATTATAAAAAGGAACACTATAAATTTCAGATTTCTATCAAATACGGTCGACTAGAATTATTTTTTTAACGGTTAGGTTAATAAGTAAGTTTTAATCTGATTTGTCGATATATCTAAAAAAAAATAATAACAAAGGGGAAGCACTTTAAACACAAATTTTATTTTCCAGGCTGTATTGCTATATTTACCATATACTTGTTAAACATCTTTGGCCAAAAATTACAATGTTAAATAAAGGCAACATTAGTATACCGCTTTTAAAAAGTCATAATTCGATTAAGCAAAAACAAATC